CACTCACTCACGCTCACACGCTTACACTCACTCACGCTCACACTCTTACACTCACTCACATACTTGCTCACACTCACGCTCACATGTTTACACTCACTCACATACTTGCTCACACTCACGCTAACATGCTTACACTCACTCACGCTAACACTCTTACACTCACTCACATACTTGCTCACACTCGCTCACGCTCCCAAGCTTACACTCACTCACATACTCGCTCACACTCACTCACGCTCACACGCATACTCACTCACGCTCACACTCACTCACGCTTACACTCACTCACGCTCACGCTTACACTCACTCACTCACATGCTTACATTCACATACTCGCTCACACTCACTCACGCTCACACACTTACACTCACGCTCACATGCTTACATTCACATACTCGCTCACACTCACTCACGCTCACACACTTACACTCACGCTCACATGCTTACATTCACATACTCGCTCACACTCACTCACGCTCACACACTTACACTCACGCTCACATGCTTACATTCACATACTCGCTCACACTCACTCACGCTCACACACTTACACTCACGCTCACATGCTTACATTCACATACTCGCTCACACTCACGCTCACATGCTTACATTCACATACTTGCTAACACTCACACGCTTACACTCACTCACATACTTGCTCACACTCACTCACGCTAACACTCTTACACTCACTCACATACTTGCTCACACTCACTCACGCTCCCAAGCTTACACTCACTCACATACTCGCTCACACTCACTCACACTCACTCACGCTCACACACTTACACTCACGCTCACATGCTTACATTCACATACTCGCTCACACTCACGCTCACATGCTTACATTCACATACTCGCTCACACTCACGCTCACATGCTTACATTCACATACTTGCTCACACTAACACTCTTACACTCACTCACATACTCACTCACACAAGCTCACACTCTCACGCTCACTCACTAACTCTCATTCACACACTCGCTCTCACTTGTTCACACTCACACACGTTTCTGCAGCAGTATTAATTGTTCTCTCTCTGTGTGGAGCAGAGGATTTCATCCAGAACTTCAGCGCGACCTACAGTCCTTTACACAGACATCTGGTGGGACACAAACAACAGCAGCAAACACAGTCCCTCATACAGGAAGTGACCTCAGACAGCTTCCTGCACACCGTCATGGACTCACAGAGGGTGAGAGCAGCTGCTCTTTATTAAAGCTTTTATCTAATGTAAAGAGAGTATGAGTGATATAAGCACACAATCAGCCTAATACAGCAAAGTCAATATATTATTTAGAATAAATGTCTGTTCACAGCAAGATCAATAACTATATTAGCGTCCAGACCAGCAGACGATAGCTGTGATGTTCTCCGTCTCTCATCAGGACGTGCTGCTGCTGTATTATTCGGTCTGGTGTGGTTTCTGCTCAGTTCTCAATCACGTGTTTCTGCAGCTGGCTCGTCTGTTCCAGGGAAACAGCGCCCTCACGGTGGCCAGGTGTGGAACTGCACATTACGCTTCACCTGACAGTGCATTCAGGAGTGACTGTGAGTCAGTGTGTGTGTTCTTGCTGTTTCAGAGTGAATGTTGGCCGTAATGATCTGCCCTGGGAGTTTATGGTGGATCATCTGCCGTCTGTGCTGTTCTTCCCCAGACACAGGTCACAAACTCATCATTCACACTCTCATGCTGGTCAAACCTGTGTCTTGTCTATTCTGAATCATCACTGTCTCTCACAGGAAGCAGATGAGTGTGAAGTTTCCAGAAAACACACCCATGACAGTTCCCAACCTGCTGCGGTTCGTTCTGCAGCACTCTGACCACGCCCCATGGGAGGAGTCAGGTAGAGGGGCGGAGCCTCAGTCCCTGCTGGAGGCGGAGCTTCAGGCGTTGCAGCGGCAGGTTTTTTCTCTGCATCGGGCCAGAGAGCGTCTCTCTCAGCAGCTTTCGGTCCTGTGGAGGGAGAACCGGCGGCTCACCCTGCACACGCACACGCTGGAGACCCAGAATGCCGAGCTGCAGGAGCAGAGCGGGCGGCTGGAGACACTGTACAGAGAGAAAACACGGCAGCTGAGCGACACTGTTCACAGACTGCAGGAGCTCGCAGACGCGTCTGAAGAACTGCTGGAGGAGAACTCACTGCTCAAAGTGCTGTTAACTGTCCTGAGAGAGAGAGACGGATGGGAAGGAGACAGTCGAGACACAGACGGACAGGAAGAAGCAGACGGACAGGAAGAAGACAGACAGGAAGAAGACAGACAGGAAGAAGACAGACAGGAAGAAGACAGACAGGAAGAAGACAGACAGGAAGAAGACAGACAGGAAGAAGACAGACAGGAAGAAGACAGACAGGAAGAAGACAGACAGGAAGAAGACAGACAGGAAGAAGCAGACGGACAGGAAGAGGAGAGACAGGAAGGGAAGTGTGAAGCTTCCTGACAACAGATGATTATCATGCATAATCTTAAAGAATCTCACAAAACCTGTCAAGAACACATCCAGCTCATATTTCACCACAAAAGGAAATAAGGAATATTTTATGAAAATATATATATATTTTTTTTTGTCCGTTATTTTTAAATACGTATATTTCCACCCTGAATGCAAATGATCTCATTCTCATTACTGTATGTGAAATGAAGAAATATAACTTACTGCACCTTGTAAAGTGTTTATACATCATGGCGGTATTTATTGTGCAGATTTAATTAAAATAAATCATTATGTTACAGTTAAATTGTAAATGGCATTTAAAACATACAGAGAATCTACTGAGAATTGCCTTCGAAGTGAGAATTACAAGAAAAACAAAAACATCTGGACAAATTATAGAACTGAGAAGAGAGATTATTTACATTTCTATAATGAGCATTTGTTAGTTTAATTGTCATAAAAATGATAAGTCTTAAAAAGGTTTCTATTTCTCTGCTGAGTTTAATTTCTTTCTTGTTCTTGTGGATTTGGAGTGAAATGTGATCTGGACATGTTCTGATGATTAATTATGATTGTCGTTACAGACGTGAGTGATTGAAGACGTTCATTGAGAGACTGATGTAACGAGACTAATAACATTGAAAAACTGTTTAAGCAAGAAGTATTTCTGTTTATTTTGTTGAAATTATCTATTTTTCATTATGACTATGGTATTCTGGATTCTGGTTCAGTATTCAGAGAATTTCAGATTGTAAGGGTTAAATGAAAGAGAATGGTGGTGTGATCATCTTACTGACTCTGGGGTTTTTACTATCATTCGGTTACACTTTACATTAGTGCTGACAACACTGATGCAGTGAAAGTAAGTGAAGTTCCCGCTTATTTCTATATTTCTAACAATACAACTGTAGAGATATTGGTGGATTTTTTTGATATTTTTAAAGGATTCCCGGTTGCAACCCTGCTGAAAAAAACAATAGAACCATCACAGAAAATTCTAATGGTTTCCACTACAAATACCATTAAAAACATTACAAACCATCAACTTTTAACCATTAAAACCACCAAAATAGTTTTCTGAAGTGTGTTTTGGAACACATTCCATTAAGGTTTATTGGTATTAACAAGCCACCAATAGAAGGTGACCAATTACCAGTAGAGACCCACAGGCATCATTACAGTTTCCATTAAAACCAATACAAGTCCCATTATAACCAGTAAAACCATTACACATTTTGTGATGGTGTCTATTGTTTTCAGCAGGGAACAAAGCCCTAAATTGGTTGAGAACTTTGAAACATAGGTTTCAGAAAAAAACACACGTTTCCCCTTTCCATTAATTACTCCCCTTAAATCTCCAAGTTTTGTTATGCTCCTTTCAATCCTTAGTAACCATTTCACAAAAATGAAGAAACCAAAACTGCCGGATGCTGAACTTGAACACGTTAATGTTCGCTCTCTTTGAATAAAGCCTGCATTTGGATTCCCAACTCCGCTGTCGTCGTTACAGAATCACCAGCCACACCCGGATCCAGCGGCTTTATTCAGTGATCCAGGCCAGCCATGAATCCAGCAGCACAGTTAATGCGTCTCCGTCAAGGTGAGCAGCCTATTGAGGATCATGTGTTGGACTTTATTGAACTGGCTCTCTCAATCTCATTGAATGAGTTGTTTAATTATATTTTTTCATGGAGGGCTATCTTGAGCCGCTCAGTGCATGTATGCCATTGTGGCATCCGGACTGGTCCTTAGTGGATTATATCGATCTGGCACTTCAATTGAACGGCTCTGCATTCACCGTGGGTGTGGTGGAGGAGGACCGCAACATGGCCGCCACACCACAGCCTTCTACTGTCATGGTTACCTCTCGTCTCGTCCCATCATGTCCGCTGTTCCAGAGTCTCTACAAGATGGTGGCCAGTCCAGAGACATTTCATAAGTTGGCTACTAACCCAGAGAGACTCTTCACAAAATCCCGTCCCATCTCAGCTGATCTTCCAGAGTCCCATTTCGTCACATCTGCCATCTCGGAGCCACATCATGTCACGGTTATGGTACCACAACCCGCCACAGTCCTGTCAATAGAACCCGTTGCTAAGAGTCAGAGACTGGTATCCAGTGTGAAGGCCCCACCGCTGGTGTCGGTATGAACTGCTGGCATTCCTGGGGTCGCTATGCTCCCGAACCACTCAGTTTCAACACTCTCAAGTCTGCCGGTCGCTACTCAACCCAGTTCCCCAGGCACAGCGCTGTCAGTCAGAGAAGCCAGAGAAGGCTTCTGTTCCAGAGTCTAGCTCAGAGATGATTTCAGTCCATGACCACTGCCCCATGTTTATTTCCACTCCTGATCTCAGTCTTGTGTCTGCTTCAGCTTCAGAACAAAGCTCAGTGTTCGCTCCAGCCCCTGACCTTAGTCTAGCAAGGTCTTCAGCTCCTGAGCACAGTACAAAGATGGCTTTAGTTCTTGAATCTGCTCCCGAGTCCACTCTAGTTCCAGAGTCTGCTCTAGAATCCACTGGATTCTCTGAATCCAGTTCTGAGCCTCCACCAGCCCCCGAGTTTGCTCCAGAACTCACTCCTGTCCATGGGTCCGCTCCCGTGTCTGCTCCAGTCTATGAGTCAGATCCAGAGTCCACTCCAACTTACGAGTCTGTCCCAGAGATCACTCTGGGAGATCTGTCCCAGAGGTCCCAGAGATCACACCTCTGTTGCCCCTGAGGTGGTAACTTCTGTTGCAGAACCTCCTCTGACAGTAGCAGCACTCTTTTCCAAGCTCATGAGGTTCCCGGTCACCTCTGTTCCTACCACGGACACTATTTCTGAACTCTCCCTGTTAACTGATGCCTCTGTTACGGCCGTGAGTGCCGTCTCCGAACTATCTGTGTCTGTTGAAGCTTTTGTTGTTACTGCTGCAGAACCTCCAGAGGTGGCGGCATCCTCTGCAGAAACTAGTTTTGCCCTGCCTGTGTTTTGACCCCGGACTGTTTCCTTGTTTTTGATTGTTTGCTGCCTGCCCTGATCATTGCCTGTTTGTGGATTACTCTTTTGCCTCTGCCTGGGATATTACTGTTTGCTGTTTCTGGACCCTGCCTGTTTTGACCATGCTCTCTTTGAATAAAGCCTGCATTTGGATTCCCAACTCTGTTATCGCCTCCCTCGTTACATATGTGATGGGTGTAAATTTCCAAACCAAAGCTTCCAAATTCCTTCATTAAGGCTCTTTTTATGATTGTTATTGAAAGGTAAATGCAATGGTCACTTCAATAAAAGTTATTTTAGAATTTATTTGACAAGTTACCTGAAAATTTAACTAATTGAAATATCTTCAACATAACAAACTTTAAAGGTTTGTTAGTTTTTACCAAATGTCAAATGTGAATTAAAGACACAGAGGCTATATTTGAAAAAAGAAGACATTTTATTTATTAAAATGACATTTTATTTACATTTAATTAAAATAAAATTTTTATTTACATTTTTGCATTTGGCAGTTTTTGTATTCCTTGGGAATCAATCTCATAACTTTGGCGTTGCAAGCACCATGCTCTCCTTTTTTGGGCTACAGGAATGCTATGTCTTAACAGCTGTGTTTTTTTAGTATGAATCCTCCTTTTTAAAAATAAATTTCCAATTTAAAATAATGTGGCATTGATGTGTGGCTTCATGTCGGGTGTTTCATACGGCCACTTACACCGGATGCGAGTGGTGCGATGCGACACGACCGTAGAACCCATTATAATCAGTGATGCTGTCTACACTGGATGTGGCATGACGCAACACGATCAATCTCAACAGCAAACTGATGCCTTGTTCTAGTTATGATGTTCTGACACAAAGTGATTTGATTTGATTTGCAAGGGTCGCTTTGTCACGTCCAGTGTAGACAGACTTTAGACGATGCGAGTGTAGACATATGAGACAGTACTGTATAATGAGTGGAGCAGAGTGAAGGGAATTCACCCTGTGTTATGTTGTGACATGTCATTGTGAGAGTCACATCTTTGATAGCACACGTACGTCTCAGAAACGTCTATTTGATGTGTGTGTTTACATTCGGAAGATGTATTTTTTAGAGGTTTGCTTATCTGCAATACATCTCTGGGGCGTTTCCTGTCAGACATTAAATAGACATTTAGAAAAAATGTCAAGATGTTTATGTATGTAAGATTTAGAATGTATGTAAAACTGATATTTGTACACAGCAGATGCTTTCCAGATGAAGCACTCTTTATCAGACATCTGGGAACTCAACCCTTAAAATGCAGAGGCATCTTACTAAGTTTAGGATTAGGGTTATAAATGTGTGTTATAATAAAGACAAGCTTTGATCTATCATGGTGGTTTCAGGCTGTTGTTGTTCTCCTATTCTCTATCACAACCTGGGAAACACACAGGACACATAGGACAAAATTATAAATAAGAATTTATGATAAATATACAATCAATGACAAATGTTGGCAAAAAATATACTTTATGAATGATACTCTGAGTTTGTCATTACAGTAAGGTGCTTTACCTTTCCGGTTCTGGGTTTCTGTTAACAAGAGATGAAGCATGTTTAGTCAAACATCACAGATAACAACATGGTAAGTAATGCACATTTTGTATTCGAAACACCTTTTTCTTTTTCATCACAAATGAGTTTAACTGTTTGTATCTGATCTTCAGCAATATTTTGGCACTTACTTCTAAAGTTAGTAGGATGGTGAATACTGTTTCTCCTTTTGAGTAAAACACACAGAAGAAAATATGTATAATAACCAATTCACCAAACTAATTTTTTTTACAGTAAGTTGCCACACCAAAGCTCCAAAAATACAAAAAGAAAAAAAAAACCACTTCATCATTAATGTGTTTTAGGAAAGCTGTATTACCTACAACAGTTAGATAAACCAAAACAAACAAACAAAAAATCAAATCGGTGGTGCAACTACTGGCAGTGCAGGCAGAAACGGTGGAATACTGTAAATCAATCAAAAAATCTATTCCGAATTCATGTTGACTTTCAGTTTATATTTCATTTAGGAATTCTTTTCAGGTCAGTAGACCAGAGCTAAATTTATTCTGTGTCAAAAAAATGGCCAGACTGCATGTTTTATAGTCAAAGGAAATAAATAGATAGAAAAATACCTGCAGTTAACTTACCTAACAAGAGCGACGAGTGGCACAATAGCCACAATGCATATAGCTAGCAGAACACCGAGAGCAATGACGGCTGCTTGGCTGGAATCTCCAGAGTTTCCAGAACTGTCCTCCACTTTGATTTCCAGACCAGGACCAAAAACATTCACCAGTTCAGATGTTAAAACTTTGTGCTCACTGTGCACTTTCCTGTGGGAGTGAACATATATATCAGTGGTGGCTGGCTGGAAATAGTCTAGGTACGGCTGTGCCACATCCAACTATTTCAGCAAACATCCCAGTATGATTTAATGCTAAACAGCCAAAGTTAACAGAAATATATTAATACTTGAATCTGAGAGGCTTGAAACATATTTGAAAAAAACAACAACAAAAAAAACGATATGTCTAATCAAGCTCTGGATTAATTTGCGGATGATTCTCACAAAACTTTATTTTCAGCAAACTTTTTTTAAGGTTAATTAAAAATACTTTTTAATTTTCATAAT